ACCTCCATTAAGGCTTTCATTAAATAATAATGAAGTCATGGAGATGAAGAGCTATCCCAGGGGACTATGGTGCCTTCATTAGTTTCATCTAATAGAGCTTAGACCCTGAGCAGCTAGGAATCACAATTAAGTGGCTCCACCAGCAGCCATATGCATAACAAGTAGTAGTGCCTAATAGAAAGAGAGTGGACACCAAGACTTTGTCACAAATTAGGATTTTCTGCATCTTTGGGCAAGTCATAGAACCAGAATCTCTGAGATGGAAGTGATCAGATGGTCCATTTAACCCAATCTTCTACCTTGGGCAGGAATTTTTTCTGTAATAAATCAATGTGCCAGGCACTGTTCTAGGCACTGAGGATACAAATGAAAAGAATGAAATAATTTCTAATTTCAAGATTTTTACCTTCTAATAAGACCCCTGTAAAAGTACATTCAAAATAAATACAAAGTCATTAAATTCAAGGTAGATTGGGGGAGGGGCAGCGGTTAGGCACTATCAGTTGAGGGGGTCAGTTTGGGTCTCATATAGAAGTATTGCGTGTGTTGCATCTTGAAGGAAGAGAGGGGATTCCAGGAGGCAGAGATAAGGAAGGAGTGCATTCCAGTGATGGGGGACAGCCAGTGCAAAGGCCCAAAGATGGGGGATAGAATGTTTTGTGTAGGGAACAGGGATTACAGGCAGCACATGTCGCTCTATAATACATTTTTACATGTTTGTAAAAATGTATTTTGATGATAGGAAACATTACTACATAAATATGTCTTATATATAGCACAAATGTAAATATATATATAAACATATTATGAACACATGTATATTTATGCGTTGACTAAAACATAAACATGAGATCCTTGATTTATGCATAAATATAATAATTATTTACTTTCCATGTCATTTCCTCAAGCAAAGGTCTGACCAATACATTTTTAAATCCAGATGCCAATCCAGGTCATCTTGCCAGCTGCCCTGGGGCCATCTTACTTCTCTTTACCTCTAACAGCATCTTCCAGGTGGGACCTCCAGGAAACATGCCCCAAATTCCTAAGAGAGTTCAATGAGACAGCTTTGGAACTCCTTCCCTGGGACTGAGCTGTCTTAACTGTTTAATGAGTGAGGGCAACCTCAACTGTATAACTATATCTAGTGAGCCCCATACCAGACCATGTTTCATATCTAATCCAACTATCTACCCTGGCCATCTGGCCATCTGTCCTGCCACTGTGCATCAATCATCCCCACTTAAATCCATGTTTAATTCATTCATTCACTTAAGGGTTGGTGAATGTAAATCTAGAAAAGGGAAGCAGCAGTCACATAGAGCCAATATGGCTATGGCTTCATAATAATATCTGACCTTTAAATAGCTATTCCTTTTAAGGTTTCCAAAGAATTTTTGTAGCTGATGTCATTTGATTTTCACAATCCTGGGAGGTAAGTGCTACAACTATTATTATCTCCATTTTACAGATGAGGAAAGTGAGGTTCATAGAGATTTAATTATTTACCCAGGTAACACATCCGTTAAGTATCTAAGGTGGGATTTGAATCCAAGAAGCCTATTATTCTACCAGTAACATAAAGAATAGAAAATCTGATTTCCTTTTTTATTAAACAAGGTTACTATACCAGGAAAGGGTAGCTACGTGGAACAATGCATAGAGCAGTGGGCTGGGAAGCAGGAAGACTCATCTTCCTCAGTTCAAGTCCCCAGACACTTACTAGCTGTATGACCCTGGGCAATTCACTTAATCCTGTTTGCCTCAGTTTCTTCAACTGTAAAATGAGCTGGAGAAGGAAATGGCAAACTACTCCAGTATTTTTGCCAAGAAAATCCCAAATGGGGTCATGAGGAGTCAGATACAATCGAAGCAATCAAACAACTAGACTAGTAATGTCATAAGAACCGGCCATGTGATTTTATTGTTATGGGGATCTCCTGTGTGAGGTAGCTACCTTTACCAATGCTTGGCAGAAACTTTTTTTTGCAACTTGTAGCTTGGGAGAGATGAGCAAAACACTGAGAGATAAAAGGTCTTGACCAGAGTCACACAGCCAGTATATGGGGCAAGGCAGAACTTGAACCCAGGTCTTTCTGACTCTGAGGCCAGTTCTCTATCCACTATGCCCGATGGCCTCTCTCATTGTAGAAATATTTCAACTCAATTTTAGCAAACCATTTGATGAAGTCCATTATCCTATTCTTATGGGAAAATGGAGAAATTTGAGTTAGATGACAGAATGATTGACCAGGCCAAAAAATACAGTCATTAATGAATGAATATCAACTCCTCTAGGAGGTCTTTCCTGATCCACTCCCAGTCATTAGTGCTCTCCCATATCTCCAAAATAGTTTGTATTTACTCTGTACATATTTTGATATAATTATCTGTGTGTGTGTTGTTTCTCTCCAATGAAATATCAACTCCATGGAGGGAAAGGAAAGAATGATTTTATTTTTGGCAGTTCATTGGATGAGATGTTCAGCTTGGAAGCAGGAAGACTTTAATTCAAATCTTGCCATAGACACTTACAATCTGTGCCAGCCTGAGCAAGTCACTTAACTTTTCTCAACCTCTATTGCCTCATCTGTAAAACTGGGATAATAATAGTACCCACCTCATAGGGTTGCTGTGAGGGTCAAATGAGATAATGTAAATTGCTTTGTAAACCTGAAGATGCTATTTTCATATGTGTATGTGCATGTTATAGACTATATTATTATTATATGCCAGGGGTACCTGGCACATACTAGGCACTGTACTTGACAGATTGTGAGTACTCAATAAATGCTTCTTCAATTGAATTGGATTGGATTGGATTAAATTGGCAATCAAGCTACGCTTTACCAAGCAACATCTGGAAAAGGGCATTGACAGAGTATGTTTCATTCATCCGCTGACAGCTTAGTCCTTGAAAGAGTTGACAATTCTCTCCTGTGGGTGCCTCAGTTAAGAGCCCCAGTTAATCAAATAACCAGTTACAGACGAATCATGAATAAGGGGCTTTATCACTGGTATCAATATGTGAGTGTTTACAGGTATAAAAACAAAGAATATGAAAATATATCATAATTAATACATTCTTGTCACAGGAAATCAAGGCTGTCATCTATGTGGGCTCAGGTTTAAGGGAGAGGTTTTAATTGGAAAACAGAGGCAAGGCTGTCCTGCATTGGCAGGATGGGAGGGCTTGAAAAGCCTCAGGTTTGTTTATTTGATTTTAAACATCTGCCAATAGATGTAGCATTTCTCGCTACATCCAATCAAATGTCCAAATTTATCCACACTCATAAAATGACATTGGATCTGGGTAAGTGACTGTTACCTCTCTTCCAGATATTTGAGCTTATTTTATCAACAGCCAAGCCTTGTCAAACAGAAATAGTACTCTAAAGACGTGTAACTGAAGTCCCTCAAAGAAGAGGTTTATAGGACAGTATTAGTGATAAATGTAATCATAACAACACATCTACACAATGTTTGTAAGTTAGGTTCATTTTCAGCAACTTTTTCTGCTTAATCTTTTCTAACTCCTTATATGAAAGTATTTTCCATTTTTCCGTTATTCATTTTTCCACTATGTATTAGCAGCATATTTAAATAGGTCAGGTTTAAACTGTGGCAATTGGTCACAGTGTCATCTTATCCTTAACATTTCTTCTAATTTGATATTGCTTTGGCCCTTTACTCTACCTGGATGATCCAGTTGCACACAGCTGATTCACAAATGTCTCCCTTATCAGTACTCAGTTGCATCCAGTCTTTTAGATATTGTCATTTTAATTTGTCACAATATTGTTTGGTACTGACCATATCCAATCTTCTTGCTCTCCCGTGGAAAAAGTTATTCATGTTATATAGGAAGAGGAAACTGGGTTGTACAGTAGGTAAGAACATGAAACTTGCTTGGGTCAGGAAGACCTGAGTTCAAATCCTGCCTCAGACACTAGCTATATAACTCTGAGCAAGTAACTTAACTTCTCCTGGCCTCAGTTTTCTCATCTATTAAATGGGGAAGATAATAGCGCCAACCTCATAGGGTTGTTGTAAAGCTCAAATAAGATAGTCTATACAGCACCTTGCTAATTTTAAAATGCTAGCTATTATTGTGAGATTTCTAAGTAATTGACAGCCCTTATGCGTCTTTAAAGTCTCAAACCTGAACCATCCACATGGATATATTGAGCTAATTGCATTAAGACTCAGAATATGGCAGGGCCTCTTCAATGAGATTCATAACTATTCACAAGAGAACAATAGAACAATTTGTATAGGAAAAACTAAATAGGTGAAAAATATCTGTTGTCCCAACTATTATTTGGAATTGGATGGCCCTCCTATTGAATTGGTGTAATATGTACATGTATCTAGAACCACCATTGCATATGAATATATTGGGCACCAAGAAAGTGAGAAAGCTTGCAAATGCATTTTTCAATGATGATTCCAAGTTGCTCCTTAGTGCAAAAAAAAAAAAAGCAAAGATTTTTTAGCACAAATTCCTTCCTATACAAGCTGTGTCTTGGAGTACTACAGGCAAGCAAATCTTGGAACACCACAATGTCTAAAGAACCAGTTTTAAATGCTGAGAAATCAAATGAAGAAGGCATCTAGCACATTGGGGGGGGCGGGGTTCTCTGTGGAGAGATCTGTAAGTGAACATTGAAAAAAAATCATACAAAGAAGAGGAATGGATGGGTCTAGATCTTAAACAAATGGAGGGAATACCCACATTGATGGGTTCATAGATCTATGGAAATATAAGCATGTAAAAGTGTGTTTTCTACAGTTTTTTAATTTTTCTTAAATTTAAGAAATAATTAAATGATTTGTAAATCCTAAATTTTTAACCACAATGCAAATGCTTAAAGAAATTCTGGTGGGTCTGTAAGAAGTCAAATACTTATATCTAACTTGGCAATATGAATGAATGCATTTAATGAATTTATTTCAGCTTACTGCTATTTTCTGACTGCAACCCATTTCTTTCATCCCAGAGGCAACAGAAGAACCACAAAAGATGGATCAACCGTTTTGAAAAGCCAGAACCTTGGTCTATCCCCAAATAGGTCAGAATACTTTTTTCATTTTTAAACATAGGACTGAAAATCTAACTTCTGAGGCACACACTCTATACTGCACTGTATTCGTGCCTAACTGTTCCTTCTGGATATTCTTTCCTTATTCTTCTTTATTGCTACCCCTCTGTCTCCAAGATGTTATCCTCAACACATTTCTCTTCTTTCTGTACATTCCCTCCATGAATGAGCTCACCCATTCTGACAGTTTTAATTACCTCTATGCAGATTACTCTAAAATCTATGTAACTATCCACCTGTATAATTATCTCTCCCCCATAAGTCCCTGCGCCATATTTCAAACCTTATGCTGGACAGCTCCACCCAGATGTCCTATTTGTACTTCAAATTCCACATGTTCAAAACTGAAATCATCTCCCCCCACCAAAAAAAAAAAACCAAAACCTTCCCATCTCCTAATTTGTGTTGTGGCTTATTAATCTTTATTGTTTTACTTTATTATATTATTTATGTATTATTTATAAATATTATTGTATATAATATCATTATATTATTACTTTATTAGTCTCCCAGACAAGAAACCTCTATCATCTTTTATTCTTTCTTCTCTTTCATTGCCCCATCCACAACCAATTCCCTGGTCTTTCTTATTCCATTTCCACAATATCTCTTGCCTCTATCCCATCTTTTCTCCTCACACTGTGACCCCCTAACTCAGAGCCTGTCTGTTCTCTTTGTCTCTAACACTTCTCCAGTGCACCCATACAACCATCAAAATCATCATACTGCTATAGAAACAGGATCATGTCACTCCTGCCCTCAAGCACTTTTGGTGGCTCTCTTTTGCCTAAGGGATACAAATAGAAACTCTTTAGTCCAATATTTAATATTCTCCAGAAATTGGTTCCAACCTCCCCACCGTTATTTCTTGTTACTTCCTTTTGTCCCCTTTATATTCCAACCAAACTGGTCTATTTCTTGCCCAAATGGTCTTTTAAATTTCCTTCCCCTGTACTTTTGCATAGGCCAGCCCCATGTTTGCAATGGATTCTTTTTGAGTCTCCACCTATTGAAATTCTTTTCTTCTTTCAAGGATGACGCCTTCATAAAGCCTTTTTCATGCCTGTAGCTGAATATTCTGTGTCTGCCTCTGTCTATGTGTTTCTCTGTCTCTATCTCTTTCTGACTCTGTTTCTATCAGTCTCTGTCCCTCTTTGTATGTGTTTCTCTTTTTCTCTATGTGTCTTTCTCCCTTTGTCTCTCTCCATTTCTGTCTTTCTGTCTCTGTCTCACTCTGTCTCTCTTCAGATTTTTTTTATAGTACTTTGTCTGGACTGCCCTCTTTGTATTTATCACATTTTATCTTGTATCATACTCTCTTATGAACATATATTATTGCCCTCATTGGATTTTAAGCCCCTTGAGAGCAGTGACTGTCAGTTTTCATCTTCATGTCCCAAATGGGTAGCACAATGCCTTGCATTTGGTAGGTCCTTAAAAATATGTGTTGAATTGAGACAAGATAGATGTTGGACGTGTCTTTTTTTCACAGAGGCAGAAAGAAAGCAACATGATTAGATCACTCGAGTGAATCAGCCCTCCATACGGTCCCTTTATATGTGTTGTGGAGTTAAAGTTAAGATTAGGGGTTAAGAATCTGATGGAGTTAGGGTGAGAAACTCAAAATTGGGATTAGAGTTAGCAGGCCTGAGCAGGCAGACCAGAGAACCAATTGAATGCTTTCAACTGCATTTTGGCCTTTTAAAAACAGCTCCTGTACTGATGAGCATCGGTTCCCTAATAAGGAAGGAAATTAGCTCTTGTGTTTCTTTTTTGACAGTGGTATAATGGAAAGAGAGCTGAACTTTGAGACAAAGGACCTGGGTGCAAATCCCATCTCTTTTGTTGTTTTAAGTAGAGGCATTTTGCCAAAGTCTCTGCTATTTAGTCTCTTTGTGATACTGACCAAGTGACCTAACCTCTCCTTATCTTCTTAGAGGTTTAAATTTTCATTTTATGTCTCTGCTTGATACCTTTTTGCTGTCAAGGAGAAGGAAGATATAACCTACTAAACTAAATTTCTGTGGGGCTTCCAATGTTGGCAACTGGATTTTTTTCCCCTTACAATCCTGGAGAACAGAATTATTCTACCAATGTACAGGACTCCCATCAGCCTAAATATAGGGTGCCCCTCTAAAACAAGATGTCCCTAGAGGGCAGAATGAGGAAAAATGGGTAGAAGTGACAAAGAAGTAGATTTAGGTTTGATTTTTAAAAGAAATGAAGAAACTTCTCAATAATTAGGGCTGTCCAAAAGTAGAATGAGTTGCCTTAGAAGCTACAAGGTTTCCCCCAAGTAGATGCCTTCAAACCACTTGGGTATGTTGTAAAAATTATTCTTGCCAAGGTAGACTGCGCTCTCTGCTTCTCCTTCCAATTCTGAGATTCTATTATTCCATGAGACCTCTTTAAAAGGAAATATGATATACATAGATAGATGCATATGTGAATCTATTACATATATAAGTACTTTATTGTTTGTATAGATATATAATCATATATGTGTATTAAGTTCATTGAAGGTGTGCATGTGTGCATAAATATATATAGATAGATTCATATATACAAATACATTCATTGAAAATGAATCCACTATACACCACACTTTGGTTTCATGAAAGCCATTTTGAAGAAAGAGTGTGACTGGTTTGCAGATGAATATGGCTCTTACTTTTTCCTGACCCTACCGGCACAGTGGATACAATATTAGATTTGGAGTGAGGAAGACCTCTTTCTGAATTCTGCCTCAGACTTTTACTGGTTGTATGACCTTAAGCAAGTCATTTAACCTTCCTTAGGGTCAATTTTCTCACCTGTAAAATGGGAATGATAACATCAACTAATTCACAAGGCTGTTACAAAGATCTAGTCTCAATTCATTTGAATAATTTTTTCTATATTGGGAAGTAAGGCACAATGTGAGGGAAATCACTTTGCAAATCTCAGTGTTTTGTAGTTATTGCAAATATTACAATTACATTGTAACCATTATTGTTGTCATTTAGTCATTTTTTTTTCAGTTGGATCCAACTGTCTGTGACCCCATTTGGGGTTTTCTTGTCAAAGATACTGGAGTGGTTCGCCATTTCCTTCTCCAGCTCATTTTACAAATCAAGAAACTGAGGCAAAGAGGGTTAAGTGACTTGCCCAGGGTAGCTAGTAACTGTCTAAGGCCAGATTTGAATTCAAGAAGATAAGTCTTCCTAATTCCAGGCCTGTCACTAGACATCTGGCTGCCCACAAGCATCATTACTATACTTATATTACTCTGTGTGTGTGTGTGTGTGTGTGTGTGTGTGTGTGTGTGTGTAATTACTATTTTTATGTCTAATCTCTATCTCATCCTAAGAAAGTACAGGATATGCCAAGTCATAGACCAAGTCAGAGTCAGCTACATTCACCTCCAAGAAACAGATCTCTCTCTACAGGTTTTGAGAGATACCACTGACCAGCTTGCCAAATATCACCTGTTTGTTCAAGCTTTTTCCCCAGGAAAAGTGAAGCAATTATTTCTAGGTGGTGGCCAACTATCTAAAGGTTCTTTAAGAACCCACTACACTTCTGAAAAATTATGGATGTCTTCAGGCTAATTTAAGTAAACATTAATTATCTTTCAATAATGCCTCTAACTTCCACGAGAAAAAGTGAATTGTAAGAGAGAGAGAAACCAAGAGACTTCCTTTAAATGGGCATGGCTGAAACAATAACATATACTGAAGCAATATTTCCAATTATATTAAAAAAGGAAACTAGAAGAATCAGCTTATTCCAAAACAAATTATTTGAGGATGTATCATAGCATGCTCTGGTGATATTAAAAAAGAGTAACAGATGATGTTACAGGAATCTATAACAAACCATTTATAAAGTAGGACACAAATATACATATATTCTATAAACACAGACATCTCTCTGTCACTGCATATTTTATAACAAAAGGTGCAATGAGAGTATAAATTACTACCGGATATGTATGAACCAAACTGGAATTTCTATTAACTATACATTAGGGGCTGTTACTTCATTTGCTGCAGTGGATAGGCAGGAAGACTCCTCTTCCTGAATTCAAATCTGGCCTCAGACATGTACCAGCTGTGTGACCCTGGGCAAGTCACTTAACCCAGTTTGCCTCAGTTTCCTCATCTGTAAAATGAGCTGGAGAAGGAAAAGGCAAACCATTCTAGTGTCTTTGCCCAAACCCCCCCCCAAAAAAAAAGGCCATGAAGAGTCAGATATGAGTGAAAAATGACAACAACAATACAAGGGGATCAGCTTTGAACACAAATAGCAAGAACAGACCATTTGATTATTCAGAATATCTATGTGTATAGTCTGTTCTGCTGTCAATTTACTATCCACATTAGTCACTTCAGCATGAGTAAAAGCTGGCTTTCCAGAAAGCCCAGGAAGGGAGCTCATTGATTGTAGAGTTGGAAGGGGCTTTTGGAATCATCCAACCATTTCATTTTATAGATGAAGAAAATTGAGACCCATGGATGTGAAAGGTATAGGCTCGTAGGTTTATAGATTTAGATCTGGAAGGTATCTCACGGTCATCTAGGACAATCCCTTCATTTTACAGACAAAGAAATCAAGGCTCCAAATACAGTGCAGAAGCCAGAGCAAGGCCACTTCAGTGTTAAGCTTAGTGAAATAGATTGTATGGATATTATTAGTCTTTTTTGACAAGTGAGGTAACTGGGATTTAGAAGGTGAAGAGATTGGCCCATACTTAACGTAGAAAGTAAATGGTGGAACTGGGACTTGGAATTTCTGACTCCAAATTTCAAAGAGCTGCCTCAGCGGCATTACTTGGAAATAAAAGTGCTCTTCAAAACATGCCATAGGGGCAACTAGATGGCGCTGTAAATAGAGCACCAGCCCTGAAGTCAGGAGGACTGAGTTCAAATTTGGCCTAAGATACATAACACTCACATGCTGTGTGACTCTGGGCAAGTCACATAACCTCA